ATGAATCTAGTACTTGGAGAATTGAAAAAGACATATGATCTAAAAATCTCACATCTTTGGATATGAAAACATGGCATGTGTTTGAATCATAGCATCACATGTCTTTTATTCTATCATCTCTATTGAGATGTAAAAGCCTCTTAAATCTGTCAACAAGTTTTTCTTGGTTAGGTATTATGTCCACTATATAAAAAATCAAACTAAAGATTTTTAGTGAAGAAACATTGAATTTTAGACTTAAAAATATTGTATCAAGGATTTTACTTGGATGTTTCTTTGTTGATTGTAAGTTCAAGATAATACATGATGTGCATCTTATTTTAGCCTATAGATTTTAGATGGTATGCAATCAATGAGAAACAATACATGATTTCTAGGATAGATTTATTTCTTTACTTAGATTTTGTATTGTAAAGTATATGGTTGCATTAATTAACAATAGATATCATATAGTATATAATAATCATCAAATTTACATAAGATTAATTTTCCACCATTATCACATTATAAAACTAATAATTTTTGGCAACATTAGTATTTAATAGTTTGTTGAAAGAATTTTTTTTTAAGCTTTTATTTTTTTGTCATAAAATAGATGAAAGTTTTTTATAGTAATCATTAATAAATATAATAAATATTTTTTTTCTACCATTTGATTCTACTTAAAAATATTAATATACATTGATATGTATTAGATATAATATACAAGTTGATGAAGTGGTCTTATTCTTAAGAATCTTGGTCTTACTTTGCTTCCATTTTAAACATGTTTTACAAAGAATGTTGTTGATAGAGAGATGTGGTGTGCATGTGACTGCATTATGGTCTATCATACGTTGCATGCTCTAGTAGTTAAAATGTCCAACTCTATTGTACCATATCAAGGTAGATAATTTTGATTGTATCAAAAAACCATGAATGGAAATTATAATGTGCGCTTCTAGATTTTGGACCTTAGAGCAATTTAAAAACATATTTCCTAACATCATATATAATCTATTATATATTTGTTTGTTCACCATAACTAATGTGTACCTTATTTTATTTTTGATCAAAAAAGTACCTTTATGAAATATAAGAAAAAATGTGCTTTCAATTAAGAAATCAATAGACAATAAATTTTTATTAATGTCAAGTAAATACAAAACACAATCAATCTTATGAATTTCTCCAAATGAAAGCCAAATGGCTATATTTCATATCCAATGATACTAGATATATACTCTCCTACTTAGATAATTTTAGTACCACTATTTGATTTAAGAGACAAGAAAATAGATAGATATCTTAATACATGGTGAAATATACTTGAATCAAGAAACCATGGTATTATATTTTGTTAGATCTTAGGTAGATTTATTTTTTCAAAAGAAAGCTTTAGGATTTTGAACAACTAATAATATGCCTTCTAACAAATCCTGATTTGATTATACTATGTAATTATTGGAATTACACTCAAAAAATTCTTCAACATTGTTGATGTAAGCCCTAGAATTATAATCATGCATGTACAATTTTAAATCATGTAATTTTTTTATAACAATTTCTACATCAGATTCTATATTCGTCTTTTAGTCCATAAAGCAATTCTACTAGAAGTAATTTTGATAAAAAGTCTCTTTGTAAAATTTGATACCCATGTATATATTACCATTGTGATAGTAGGCACTATATCACCATTTGTAGAAGATATTTATACTATTGCTATGGCTAATGCCAACATGATGATAAAAGCATTTTTTCAATTGTTAGTAATTATTACTATTGATATGATTTTGACTATAGTTGTTAGATCTATTAGTTCATTCTCTTTGATCTGAGTTTACTCCTCTAGCATATGGTCTTTTGAGTTCTTGAAAGTTAACAAAGCCTTGCTTTCTTTTTCTTCACTCTTTTGTACCTTTTTAGATATCTCTTTATTCAACTTTCTAATTTCTAGTTCAATATAAGTCAAAATGTTACTTCCAAGTATCATTTGCTTGATGACATTATTATCTTTTAAAAGGTTTTTTTATAATATACCATACAACCATTTCTTTTGGTAATAGTACACCTCCATCTTCTACTAAATTGATAGTTTCTTTCATTTCAATCAAATACTCGTCCATATTCATGCTATTTTTATTTTATTTTATTTTATTTATGCTAAAAAATTGATTAATGAGATATATATTTCAGATATTATTATTTGCTTTATATTTCTATTTTTAGGTACATCAAATACTTATAAGGATCAAAAAAATATTATATAATGTATAATGTTGTTTATTTAGTATTGTAATTGAATGTTGTTAGTATTAATTTATAATTCCTCTCTTCTGCTATTGAGTGCAACAATAGTAATAGTGATGTGATACACGATTGCTTAATGTCATCTGTCTTAAGAATGTTTCTTATTCTAAATAACTACATGCAATAATTATCTATATTAATAAAGAGGTATGTCTTAGGAAGCACATGGTCTCTAGATCTATTAATGTCTGTGTACATGTCGACACATATGTTAGAGGTCCTATTTTGTTTTACTTGTGTTAACCTATCAAGAGACTCTTATCTATAGTAATTAGTGTTGTATATAACCTCTAAATTCATCTTAGATACAGTTTGCAAGTAGAGGTCTAAGTCCAAAATACTTTTAGTCCTATTGCTTTTAGCACTCTAATACCATGTAAAGCATTGCTCAATCTAGGATAGAAGAAAATTCAATTGAAAAATTAAAAGAGGATAAACATATGTAGTATATAGGTGATGCCACACTGCACATGTTAAGTCTAGGATTAAGACTACACTCACATGGTAGAAAGATGAATAAAGTCATAAGATGAGGTCTTTTGTTAGTAGACTTTGTTCATCTAATAAACTTGTCATCATATTATTATTTTCTTTTTAATAGAGTTTATATTTATTGCTACTAAATAACAATAACATTAATAATAATATCAATAATAATCCAACTGTTGAGGTTGTGTGTGGTGGCATGAAAGTAGAGCCAATCCTAATCACATTGAAAAAGCTCCATTTTGTGGTCTATTGCATAATCCTAAATTGGCAATTTGAATAGCTTAAAACACAATAAGTTTTGGTCTTAATATCTATAAGCTTCTTGAAAGTTTCATTGTTGCATTGCTAATTTGCGAGTAGATCTTAGTCATATAAAATCTGAGAGAAACATTGTGATCATAGTCCACAAGGTGTAGGTATTTGTCATCCATGATTTATATTGCAATTCCTACACATTGATGATGGTGTCATTTGCTGTAAGTGTTGGTCATAACAAAAACTCGCCTCACAACTGAGTGCAAATGTGAAAATCTCCTTCTCGTCATCCTAGCCCTTTGCTGTTTGTTTAATTCAAGTGGTCTCAACATTGTGATTGTCCGCTCATGTGGTTTGAGAAAGTTAATTGCAGAAATGAGAAATTCAATTGCTGCTGCTCAGCAATCAGACAAGTTTAGCATGCGAGACAAAGATTTTTTGCCGCTGCTTGTCTCCAAGGCCAACCTCAGATGTGAGCACCCCAGCTCATTCTCTCTCTCTCTCTCTTAAACTTCGGTAAAAGAAATCATGAAGAAATCAAATTTTTTTTTAAATATATATTTATATATATATATATATATATAATTTTGTGTATGTATAAACATACTCAAGTACAATCCTATGCCATTGAGAACACGAAAGCTATAGGAGATCTTTCTAGCCCTCTTTTAAATCATAACTAACCTTGATTATCAAAATCTTAATTGGTTTCATACATCCACTATAATACTTGTTAATTTAATGTTATATGTGTGTTTATGTATCCAAGTATATTATACAATTTTTTACATGAAGAAAAGAAAGGAAAATAGAATTAAAAAAAATATATTTTAATGAATTGGATTACAACAAGTAATTCATTTTAAACCCAGATTACTTGATAGTTTTAAATGTTATATTTGGTATTCATTTATTTTATTTGGTACCTTGAATCTTGCATGCATCTATATATATATATATATATATATACATATATTACTAGATTTTATTAAAATTTTAATGATATTTTAAATGATTTTTAAAAAGTTGCATTTCTACCATCAAATTACAAGAGCCCAACTTTGATTAAATATAGAAGCATGTGTTGTTATTGTTACAATACTTATCTAATGCACGAACATTTGTATTTGTGAAAATTACCAATTTAAAAGATTTATACAAATCATTCAAGCCTCATTTTATTTGAAAACTCTATTTATAATTCTTCAATCTTAATAGTTTTTATTTCATGCAAAACTATATTGATTTTTACTCTAACAATCATAATCCAGCTTAACCCATCATTGAACTTATTTTAAAAAGTAAATGTGATGGTTAATAACTTTTGCCCATGTATCCAAATTAGTCATTTTATTTAAAGTGTAAGTTCATTTGTTGTGGAACTCTTCTTTTTGTGTTAAAGGAATGAATGATTTTTTTTTTTAAGAAACATGCTTTTAAAATAATATAAATCCAAAATTGAAAATATGTTTACTTGTTATTTCATTTTATTGTGTGTTTTTGTATTAAGAGATTTCCAATATATTCAAAAAAATATGTTGTATTTTTAAAATAGCAATTACTTTATATAAACTTGAATATTAACAGTACCTTAAGTGAATTATTTAGTAAATATGTGAAATATGATAAAAACAACAAAAGCTTTGTCACAAATTCACAAATGATAGTTAAATATTATTCAAGTTAACAACTCTAACAAAAAGCCATAATGTATCTCTGCATAACAAATAAATGTCTTAAATTTTGAAATTCAATGAACATTTGTATTATTCGATTTGCAACCAATGTTCCTTGCAGTATAGTTATGAATTTGACACAAGTCATGAATTCCTTAGTACTTACAAAAACTGCTTAACATTTATTGAAGTGTACACACTTGTATGAAAAAAGGACATGCATATAAATTAACAAATAAAGAGGATGTGCACAATCAACACATCAAAGACACGCAGAATGATGCACAATACACACAAAACTGTATTTATATATAGGAAGTTATTAAATTGACGCAACCATTTCTTTCATTGGTTTTTTTACCAATACAGATCCAGGCATGGAGAATTTTTTTGACAATGGTTAGGATGCGTGGGTTATTTAGTAAATACATGGGTCAATTTAACAACTTCTTATTTATATTTGCATATATATATATATATATATATATATATATTAGCACCAATGAATATAAATATAAGTATATATACATATATATAATTTTTATATTGGGTGGGGGAGGGATCATGGATACTTCGGGTGATCAAGAGAGTGTGTTTTTGATTTCGGGTTCAGATCAAGAGCACGATATGCATAAACCCGTACATTGCGAACACGCTCTGAGCTTGCAAATTCGTCGACTCGGTGCTCCCAGATTATGATCTCTCCCACTCGGTCCAATGTTCACTACTTCGAATTCTTCCGCACAGCATTTTCCAGTGCTTTCCTGCCTCGCACTCCATTTAAACTAGCAATTGAATCTCAATCTCAATATTTGCAGAGGGACACAATTCCATCGAACCCCAAGTCACATATTGTCGATCCTCTGCACATGTCCTTGTGTGTTCGGAAAAATGAGATGCAGACATTCCACGGCGATAAAGAATTGTGCTTGTGCAGCACGTAGCATTTCCCTCCTCATTATTGCTCCATAGCAATGTGTGGAGGAATGGTTTGGGAGAGATAGCTATGAATGCTGGATAGAACGTAGAGGGATCACGTCGACAGCAGAACCCAGACGGCTGTGCTAGGAACGGCCTCGTTGACAGCAAACAGCATGTAGTACCCTGGAGGCGCCAGAGTGGGGCCCCACGGCGCCACGGCGGTGATCTGGTACAAGGTCGCCAGGGCGATTTGCACCGATGAAGACACGGCGAGGCTCACCACACGCTGCCCTTGTTGGTAGGAATGGGTGGAGAACGGCGCGCTCACGAGGTTGATCTCCGGAGGACCTGCTAAGGTGACAGGAGCTGAGACAGTAACGGTGAACGGAGTATTATATGTGATCTGCAATGGCGACACCGTGACAGTTGGTCGCTGCAAGTCGTGCGAAGGGGCTAGATAATGTGGCGAGAAGGCCTCCAATCTCAACTCGGTTGGGTAATCGACGTCAAAAACATAAAATTGGTGGGGGTTACTACCGGCTATGAAGATTCGGCCATCCTGTGCACACCTCCAGGGCTAAGTCGTTAGATACAGGATTGTATCATCGAAGGGACTAGAAATGATGTGGTTTCGAAAGGAGAAGAGTTTTACAGTAGGCTGACCTGCATCAGATTGGCCGTCGAGTGATACATGCGGGCAATGGTCGTGGGCGCCATAGTCAACATCCGGTACCCAGGGCTCGCGTAGGTGTAGTATAGGACCGGACTGAACGCGGGATTGATAGCATTCGTCCAGCCTTGCGACCCTAATTCCATGAAACGAATCACAAAGGGTAAGATTTGTGAAGCCTTCCAATTGTCAACCGCATAAAGAATTGGTTAGTTTTCATGATCGAGATCCAGATTGTGGCTACGAAACAATCACAACACTCAATTGCCAAGGTCAAGAATCTCGGGGTATTCACGTGGATTTTCTCAGGAATGAGTTTGCGATTAGGTGCACAATTGAGAAGCTCTTGAGTAGTAGAACACCTTGTTGTGCGCCATTGATGATCATAACATCTCGTGTTGGCAGAAGTATCATGTCTCCCATGCACCTCGGAATCGGCATAATGTCGTCCATGGCCCAGGTAGGGTTAGGGTCCGAGACGACCATTCTCCCACAGGTATTCGAGCATGTCATTTGAGCAGCAGAATTCAAATATGCACCATACTGTGCACCGCCACACACCAAAATCTCCACTATGGAAAAATTATTCGATGCCAGAAGGGGTAACATAACCGAAGAGCCTCCAGATGGGTAATTCCGGGGTTCTCCTGGAATCCGTGGAAACGTCCTCACGACTGTGTCGGTCAAATAGTTGTACTCGATCGAATCCCGATTAGCGAACACGAACAGATTACCACTCGGCAGAAGATGCACATAAGGATAGAGGTTATCGTTCTGGTCATCGTTTGTAGCGTTGAGGAAGGGGAAGTAAAGAGGGCCGTTGGCATTTGGAGGGATAAACTCTAAATTGAACGCCGATCGGCCCCCGATGATAATTTGGCGTCCGTCGGGGAGAAGTTGGTTGGTTGAGTACCAACGCCCTGATTGCAGCTCTTGTGTGGTCGACTCCACCCAGTCGCAAATGCCAGAAGCCTCACACGGTACAAACGTTCTGAGCACCCACAAGCTCTGAGTTCAACATTAACATTTGAATGCGCTTTAAATGTTTGAAGCAAGCCACGAAAGTAGGAATTGAAGAAGAAATTGGAAGAATAATAACCCATTGACCTGATTTTTCTGACGCCGTCGAAGTCCCCACCCGTTTGCATGAGAGATCCATCGGGCATGAACTGTCCCGACGAGCACCAGGGATCCGTCTGAAGAAAGAGGGGCCGAACAGTTTTTGTGACCGGATCGAAAACCACTGAATGGGCGGTGCAATCGTGCTTGAGGACCAAATCATCGCTGTCTCTACAAACGCCCGCTGCAGCAAAACACTGACATCAGGTACAAGGTCAGAGAAAAGCATAGCGACGACTGATCGCTGGCAAAGGCAACCTTGGCAACCAAACGTTCTAAAACTGCCGTGACTAGCTTCTCACTGCGTCCTAAACGAATCAAGCCTCCACTATCTTGACAACGAACGTAGCTCTGTAGAGAATTTAACTCCTCCAACAGGCCAGGCACTAGTAATAGGTTTGCTCATGTGACCCGTCTGCTCCTGACGATGGCAGTGAGGAGTTTGCTTCACGCAATGACGAGGAAGGTTTCAAAGCATTAAACGCGACGTAATAACATCTGTGATTACTTAAATAGTCGGTGCCAATCCTCAAACTACAGAAGAAAGCCAACGCATCCGAAACCCACCAACAAATTCGGAATTCGCAATGAGAATCTGTCACTCCAGTTGGCAGTCATCCGGTGTCTCAATTGCGACTACTTTCAGTGGATAATCCTCACTGGCACACTGACAGCAATTCAATTTGCCCCGCACGCAATCCATGTAGTGATAGTCTCGAGTCTAATATCGTTGACAGGCTGTGGTCTCGTACCGAGGAAATTTACAAGATTCAACACTCACCTGGCAAACCGATTTGTGATGCGCCTATATCAGTCCTGTCAATCATCACCACAGTTCCGAAGCGCGTGAGCGCAGCGTGCATGCAGGCAATCCCGGCGTTTTCCAGAAGCAACTCCCAGGTTCCCAAATCTTGCGCAGGCGCTACTTGTGGGATAATCCAACATATTAACACCAAAGTCGCTGCAGTTCTCATCCAACGCCATTGTTGGTTCGGTATCCACATCAACCTCATCCTTTGAGACATAAATTCCTGGATTGCTCCAATCCGAAAGCTTCCCCACTGCAAGACCCCCATCAAGGCGGATATGTAAGTATCTGATCCAGTCTTTAAAATTTTCGAGCGCGACGCCAACCAAGACAAGAGAACTAATGAATTATTGGCTAACGATCGGACAGAAGTCCAATATCAGGCACGTCGGATTTCTCTACTTGAAAGATGAGGTTCAGTTAGAAAGATCACGGGGGTGGCATATAGATGAATAACAGCTATTTCGCCAAATTCACGAGCAGGAGTGGGTTAGTATGGGGGATGCAAACCTCGGACTCTAATCAAAGCTTCACAATACCGTAACACAAAGACGAAAAAGACAAAGAGAACACGCCGGAAACGTCTCTAGGCGAATGAATCGGTATTGAGCTCAAATTCAGAAGCTGCTATGCCCCGAAGGTCTACAATCAACTCCCTACTCAAAAATCACACTTCTCAATCCTCAATAAACCAATGTCACCTCGTGAAGAGAGAATTTCATAGCTGGAATTTGGCTTGAATATCATTGCAGCTTGTGATTGAAGAACGAACGCAATAAACAAAAGCTACTCGTAAGACTGAGCAACAGCTAAAGGGCAAAAGGGACAAAAGGGAACACAGCTGGCTCCAACAGCAGCTCAGACTGGAGATGATCAGGGCCCGGGCACTACCAACATATTCCGCCAATCAACGCACCATGAAAGAGGAAGGAACCCACGTCTCACCGAATCTTCGAATTGAAGCAGCAAGCGATCGACTCTCTGGTTGCAGAAATCACTCCGTCGAAGAAGCGCAAACGGCAACTTGAGAATATCTCGACTACACTGTGAATATGTCCATCACGCAGTGACCATCACCAGGATCCGGTCCCCCGGAAATTCATTTCCAGCTGCAACCAGCAGATAGATACAAGTGTCACCTCGATCGTAGTAATCTGCATTTTGTCAGCTGCAATCGATAAATTAGGAACTGGGCCAGACTACCAGCTCTAGAGTTGGGTTCACTCGTCGAGGAAGGATCCACGTGCATCAAACCACACAGCGTGCGAGAAAACGGCATGCGGAGCAGCTTTCAAGTGAAAGCGCAGTGATCGCGTCGAGAAGAAAACAGACCCAATTGTTGTTGAGCGAGATCTATCCACGGTGGGGACTCCGAGGCTGTGAAGCTGGCCAAAAAGCATCAACCACCACCGGGCGCAGCGGGATAGAGAATTGACCAAGTCGCACTTCATCTCTCTCCTCCCCCCTTCGCCTCTATCACAGGCCAAGACCCGCCGGGGCTTTTCTTCTTCTTCTTTGCCCTCTGGGCCTCCATCGAGCTGGTCTCCGAAAGCTGGAGACGACTCAAAGCGACGATGACGACGACTACTCCTGCTTTAGACCGCCCTTCACGGAAAAGGCCCTCGACTATTATTGGGTGTAAAGCAGCAGCAGCGTCCATCATACACACTCCCTCACGTCCACTCCTCCTACGACGACGTTGATTGCCGCCGACGCGCGGCACATTGGAAACCTCATCCACCAAGGCGTGACGCCTTTTAGGTGACGATTCTACGAGCGGAATTGTACTCGTGAGACTTGAGGACGACCAAGAGGGGTCGTCGATGAATGTCGGATGAATTTCGGATGGATTTGGATGAATGGTGGTCTAGCTGTGGGGATTCGTTGGAGCAAGGAACCATCTCACGGAGGGAGTGGAAGGTGTGTCTCTCTCTATTATAGAAATTATTTGTGTATTTTATTTTATTTTATAGAGGAGGCAAACTAAGCTTGAAGTGAGTGGTTTGTAGACCCCTTTTGTATGGTAGTTGTTGTTGTTGTTGTTATAGATTCCTTAACAGAATGTTGTTGTCAACTCAATTGCTTGTTGATTTATTTGACCACATCCCTTATTTAACTTTCATTTCTTATGTTGTTTTTAAAAAAGAAATTCTAGCGTGTTTTATTGAAAGAAGGTGAAAATTTGATGATCTTCTTATGGGTTTAATATTTTGGCAATACTGATGACAATCTATGGCGTTAAGTAATGATTTGTAGGAAATTAATAATTAGACCATAAGTGTGCGGAATGAAAAATACTAAAAAGTGGTATTTTTCTGCATTTTATATTTGTAAATATTCCTTGAAAATCGTGTGTTTTATATCAAGAAATCATTTATTATGAAATTCCAAAATTAAAACACAGTCAATCATAGTGAAAGGAAAAGTAAACATATTTAGCTATAGATGGCTTTGCATTGTAATCAATATAATCAATATGAATAAGTAAAAAACATTTTAGACATGTATTATTCTTGAAACATCCAAAATTCTCATCTGACATTCAAAGTCACCTGCTAGTACATCTGATTTATAAACTATGAAAATTATTATATTTGTACATACATCATATACAGGTCACAAATCAATAGTTATATTTAAATAATAGAAGGGAAAAAGAATACAAATGTTTTTTTATTAAGTCAAAATATTAATATGAATTTGCCAACCTACAAGAGATAAGGAAATAAAAAATCAAATAAATTACAATTAAAATACTTTAAATGAAAAAATAACTCTAAATAAAATTTATAATTAATCAAACAGAGAGTTTATAACTCTAAATAGTTTATACATTTTATAATATTATTTTCTTTCAAAATGGCACTTGAAGTCCTATGACTTTTTTTTAAATTATAATACAAAAAAATTAAATTTAGTATAATTAATATATACACACATATCACTTTAAGATTTTAAAAATTAGAAATAAATAAACTAAATCAAAATATATTACAACAAATAAGTAAAGTGTGTATGTATATATAACATCACAACTAAAATATTATATTTCAAATATTGAAACTTTAGGTTGACAAATATATATATATATATATATATATAGATATAAATCATGAATTAAATTAGCCATTGCATATTTAGATTTTACTTAAAGTACTCAATATCAATCATGTTTTATATTTATTTCTGTCTTAGTAAATAAGTTTATTCATTATAAGATTTATTTTGTTGTTAATGCCTAACTTAATTAGGTAACAAATTCTTCAATAAAATCAAGTATCTCAAGTCTAGATGATTAATTCATGTCAATAAGGCAATTCAATATGCTTGTAAAGTCCATTTAGAAAATCTCTACCTTCTTCTACTATTTTTTAGGTCATAAGTTGATCTTATTGACCTTCTCTCATTTCCTTATTTGTGCTCTAATTTTTACTTTTTTTTCTTCTTGTTCTAAATCAAATTAAGTAATAGATTGGAAATAAATCATTATCTCATATTTTATTGAAAACAACCAAATCGTTTTAAAAGACATCAATATATACATTAAAGTCATACCATCATCCATTCAAAAAAAGACTTAATCCTCTATTAGATCTAGTAAAACAAATAAGATTTAATTGCTTCTACTTAAAGGAGAACTTTTTAAAGACACTATTTTTTCCTTGACATGATGTAATTGTTTGTATTTGCAATATCAAATCATGTTATTATTTTGCAATTTGATTGTGTATTTAACCATGTTCTATATTTTAGCTGGCCCATTCTTTTGAAAATTTTCTTTTGAATTCTTCATTAGATCATATGATTATTTAAAATAGTTTTATCTTTTAACTAATATTTATTTTGAAATTTACTTTGAAATTTAAAATTCAAATTTTTAAAAAATACATTAATTTATCTTAATTAGTAAATTTCTAAAATTAAATTGACATTATTTTAAACTACCAAAATCTATTAAATCTTTAATTCTTGTTTGAACTTTGTTACAAATAGATTTATTTATTTATTTATTTATTTATTTATTTATTCATAATAATAATATTATTACCAATGTATGATGTAATTGGTTTGAAATAAATTAAAGATGATATTGCGCTATCATTGTTAGTCTTCTACACTTAAACAGTCATTGGTGCTAGTTAAGCATGCATCATTTTTTAAATTTGCAGATTTTTTGTTAAACGAGCAACTCTGAGTTGTCAAAATAGAATGATAAAACTACTTAAATTTGTGGGTTTTTTTAGATAAAATTTTACCAGTTATATATATATATATGTTTTTAAATTTTTTTTACTTTAAAGAATTTTTAAAATGTCTACTTTACTAGTCCACTAATGCAATTGTTTATTTTAGAGCATCCATGTTGTAAGTATATGTTTGGAACTAAAAGAATATTTAGCTATTAATAGAAATTACGTATTTTTCTTTTAAATTTTAAAATCATCTAAATTATTTTGGTTTTTATGATTATGATTTTTTTTCCCATAAGATACAAAAGATTGACCAAATTAAACTTGTAATTTTTTAATTTTTTTCTTATTTTTTATGGATATCTTTTTATATTATTTTACATTAATTTTAAAGAAATTTTTAACGAATTTATCACACAAAATGTTTCTAGGCCTTGTTAATATACCTTATTTATTATTTGTTAACTAATTCTTGTCATTTATAAAATAATAGAACTAAGAAAAAGTAGAAGCTTTATTTTTTGTTCATATTTTAAAAAATTGAGATCATTAAAAAATATAAGAAATTATATAGTGATTACTTCTTTTAAAAATTGAATTGGATATTAGAAAATGTTTTTTTAATTTTTTTGGTGACAATTTGTCTATTTTTATTACTAATTTGGTGAGATTTTTTTGTTTTTACTTTGCAGTAATTCTTTTGTCTTACTTATCTTCACCTTCTCTCTCTATTCTTTAATACTAACTTTTATCTCTTTCACATTCTAATTATATTTTTTATTCTGAAAAATCTAAATTCAAAGATATTATGCATGAAATGGTTGAATTGTATTATTTTTTTTAATGATACACCTAGTAGTCTTAATCCGTATACTAATTCGATAGTTTACAAAACTTCATAAGTTATTGAATAAATCAATTATATATCCACTAATTAATGATATTTTTTTAAATAATCTACAATAAAATTATTGGTTTTTTTTCTTTGATGGTGCAACTTATCAAAGATAGTATTGTTAATTCTACCTTTTATATATGAATTTAAATTTTTCAATCTCTTGTCTCAACAAATTAATTTACAATTATTTCCTTTTTTCCTATTAGCTGGTTGTTAACCTGATATGTTTCTATTAGTTTATATTTTTATTCAGTTTAAATTTATATATGATTTTACTTATCTATAAATTCTTATATCATTTGTATTAGAAATATGATAAAGAGTTGTATCAAAATACAAATACAATAAGACTTAATCTAAAATGATATTAATTGAAAAAATAATAATATGAAAAATATTGATCCAATACTAACAAAAAATGATGTCATTTGAATTAAAGTACTAGACCTTGTAAATACCAAAGATAAGATTTCTTACCATTTTTAATTTAATATGGCTTATCTAAGTTTTTTTATTTTTTAATGATTTTAATAGCTTCTATTTAAGTTATTAATATTTGAATATGTAAATAATTTTATTTTTATATAGTATAAAAAAATATTTTTTATAAAAAAATTATACAGTATAAAATGCCTTTAAAATTTAAATAATTAGAATGAAGTAGAAATTGGTAAAGACATATTAGATAGATGATATCTTACTTAAAATTATTAAAATATATATATATATATATATATATATATATATATTACTTGAATTTTTATTTTATTTTTAATATATCACCTAGCTATTGAAACTTATTCTCTAAATTGCTTACTTTTAGGAAGCTAGTCTAGAAGCAACTTAAAACTTAGATGTTTAGGCCCTAAATTTGTAGTCTACAAGAAAATTTTATAAATCTTAAAATGATAGATAGTATATATAGAGGCAAGATTGAGACCATTCTTGGTATCTTTAATGCTTTTTTACATTCAAATCTTGATTTAAGACTTTAGTTTCTTTTAATTTTTAATGGTTATTTTAATTTTTTTTTATTTGATATTTTATATGTTCTTTAACCAATTAATAATATATAAAAAAATTAATAATATATTCTTTTGAAAGTGTTTTTGAGATGTTTATTTTTAAAAAAAATTAAAGACTAATATACAAAATATCAAAGCCTAATCTTTTTTTGATAAAAAAATGTTTTATTTTCTACCCATTAAAGAGCTTTTAAATTATAGATCATTGTCTTCTAGATTAATATTTTTTATTAAATATTACTTTTTTTTCATTTTCTTCATGTATAGAAATTCTTAAGTTTCTCTAATGATAATATAATTATTGGACATTAAAAATATCATATCTTACATGT